GTGCGCTATTCGGGGCAGTGATGGGGTGGGAGGGTGGTGCGCCTGGGCAGAGCCTGCCGCTCCCCTTTCCTTCCGCCAGCCTACGACACATGCGGACGGGCCCCCTCGCGCCCTGCTCTGTGCAGCTGGGCAGCCATCGTGCCACCCCGCAGCCAGCACCCCGCACCAATATGCCGACATCGTCGCGCAGCACTGCTGCATACAACCCCCTCTCTTCCCTTGCGCACCTTGCTTCGTCCCTCCCGCCTTTCTTCCCTATTTCACCCCCCGACGACACCCCTGCACATCACATGACGCTGGAATCAACCTTTTCCCCCTACCCCCAACCCCCCACAAAACCCCAGGTCTATGCCGAGCGCTACCACCACCTCAAGGCGCCCCGCAAGCTGATGTGGCGCCCGTCCCTGGGGGCCGTGACCCTGGAGGTTTCGTGCGGGGGTGCGGCCATTGAGTTCCGCGTCACCCCGCTGCACGCAGCCCTGCTGCTGCGCTTCGCCGGCAGGGCCCCCGGGGACGCGCTGTCGGCGGGGGCCCTGGCGGCGGCGCTGGGGGTGCCGCAGGCGGTGGTGCGGCGCAAGGCGCTGTTCTGGGTGGACAACGGCGTGCTGGCGGAGGGGCGGACGGCGGGGGGCGACGTGGCGTACCGCCGGGTGGAGGCGCTGGACCCCTCGCGCATAGGTGGGGGGCGCTCGCTGCTTGGTTGGAGGAGTGTGTGTGTGCGTGTGTGTGCGTGTGTGTGTGAGTGTGTGTTGCTGGGTGCGTGTGTGTGTGTGTGTGCGTGTTGCTGCAAACCCTGGGCTTGAGTGTCCCTCTTGCTTCTCGTGATGCCTAGTTGCAGCTCGTGCGCCATGCCCCTCACCAGAACCCACACGCACTTGCGCAAAGGGAGAAGGCGGAGGGCGGGCCCTTCGCCCGTCACACGATGCCCCCACCAGCACCGCTCCACCTCAGGCGCACCCCGGCCCTTCAAACATGATAGAATCAATTGCAACTTGCCCTCCCTCCCCCGCGCCCAAAAACCACGATGTTCATGACACCTCCAGATCTGTCTTCAGCCCTCGCAGCACATTCACTGTACGCAACGCCTGGCACCCCCTCACCAGCATCAACACCATCGACACCCCTTTACACGATTTTACCGATCCCCCTCCCCAACCCCCGCACCACATACCCGCAGTCTCTACCGAGGCGTCTGACCTGTCGTGGGACGACGCCGCCGCCGGCGGCCCCGCCCCCGGCGCCGACGACGCCCTGGCCGGCATGGCGCCCTTTGAGAACTTCATCCTCGGGATCCTCACCAACTTCTCCGCCGTCGCGCTGGACCGGCTGCACAACCTGCTGCGCGTGTTTGTGGTGGGGGAGCCCAAGTATGAGGGCCGCAGCCAGGAGCAGCTGGGGGCGTTCCTGGCGCACCTGGTGGCGCAGGGCAAGGTGGAGGTGGACGCGGCGGGGGTGTACCGGCGCAAGAAGGGCTGACGCGGGGCGGGGCCGGCTGCGCGGCCGGCGGCGCGCGGAGGCGGGCGTGCTCAAAACTGGTCGATCTGGGTGTGTGTAACTGGGCCGCACGAGCGAGCATGGAGCGGCGCTCAAGCTCCTCCTTGAAAGGGCGCTTTGCGTGCGAACGCAGCAGCGGCATCGGGTGACGGCGGCCGCTGGCATGAGTTGGCTCGGTTGCGGCTGACCACGGTCAAAGCCGCCTGTGCGACGGCCTTGGCCGGGCGCCGGCAGCCATGTGTAGCTGACATTCATGCTAGCACATTATCATTCTGTAATGGCTGGGGGTAATCGTCATTGCATCGCATGGTGGCGCCCCGTCGATGCGGCAAGCAAGCCTTTGGCATCATGGGGCGTGGCGGCACCTGCGCAGTCACCCCGTCGTCGAGGCAACATTTGATTGAGTTGCTGCCTGAATGTTGTACGCCCTCATGCAAAACCCCCTCATTTACCTTTTTGTTTGTTTTTATTGCTCTGCCGCAGAAAGGATGCAGCTATGATCTGCTACAAAATCAAAGCGCGCTGAGGGGTTGGACTCCCTGTCTCCGTACTGGCGAAAGTGGCCATGCGCTATTTTCGCCACCGTATGAGGCCTTGGGCTGCGCTCTTGGTCATCTACGCGACATCGATGCTCACGCCCTCGTGCGCCTCGCAAGTAGGTCTGAGTAATAAGTGTTTTTGTCGGTGCAGCCTCGAGCCTACCGCGCGGCGTGATTGTTGCTGTGCTCGCACCTGCGCATGCCTCGCCGGCCGCGCACCCGGCACCTGCCTGTCAACCGACACCCACCCGCCCCGCGCGCGCCACCGCAGCCCGTGCCGGGCTCGGTGGTTCGCAAGGTGTGGGAGGGACGGCGCTCTCTGGGTGCCGATGACGTGCGCAAGCTGCGCGATGAGGTGGCGGAGATGTTTGACCACGGGTTCCGGCACTACATGGAGCACGCCTTCCCAAAGGTCCGTCTCTGGGGGGGGGGGTTGGGGGACCCCAGTAACGCAGCGAGCGCGCGCCTGCTCATCCCAGAAGGAAGCCACGGGAATGGCCCATGCAGCTTGCAACCTGCAAGCTGCCTCGCCCAAGCCGTGTGCATGGGCCATCTCAAGGCGCCCTTCGCCGCCACCGCCACCGCCGCATGTTGCGCCGCAGGACAACCTGCGTCCAGTATCGTGCGGCGGCGAGGACTGGCAGGGCGGCATGGCGCTGACCCTGGTGGACGCATTGGACGCCCTAGTGCTGCTGGGGCGGCGGGGGGACGCGGCTGAGGCGGTGGAGCGGCTGCGGTGGGCGCTGGACTTTGACCTTGACCAGGAGGTGGGGGGG